CTCCGTCTCATGCTTGCTTTTGCGAAATGAGTTATTTATTTCGGCGGACAGCGACGCCACTTCATTTCTGCTTTTGTGCTCCGCCGAGTGCGCGACGGCAATCGAATTAAACGAGAAATGACTTTGCTCGTCATCGCCGGTTGACAGCCGGAGATGGATTCGCGCATTTGCTGAAAATTGTTTTTTTTTCTCCACCCCACCCTCGGCATTTTCTCCGCAAAATTTATGCACCCCACGGCTCCGTGGATTGAATAATAGGCCGCAATTGAGATATCTACACAGCAGAGGAGTGATTTGTTGACTAATTTCCGTTGAGCATGAATTACCTAGATTAAGCCGAGATACCACACGCACGACTCTTAGGATGCGCAGGTTGCCTATTGAATAGTAAATTGAAGCTTGTTCGAAATAAAGAAGGGTCTCGAGTAGATCATTCTAAACTTTGTAAGAATAAATTTTGATTTGTATGATTATTTAAGTAATTTATTTTATTGAGTATGTCCCAGTTTGCTAAATGAATTCCTTAAAACCCAGAATTAAAGCACAAACATGTAAAATGTAGTATAGATCGTATAGATTATAATATCAGTGGCTAAGCAAAAATTTTTGTCAGATTTTTTTTTCATGAAAATATAACTGTCAGATGAAATACAAATTTGAGCGACGGTTGGCAGATGCGTGAGCATTTTTATTGGATGTCACCGAGCGTCCTTCGGAAAGTAAGAAAGGCGAGACTCTTACGCATGTCAAAGGAGGCGAAAGTCGATTTTCGCAGGTCGAAATTAAAAGAAAGGTCGGTCGGTTCGGCTGTCACCTCGGATGATTGAAAATGCGTCAGCGAACGCTGCAGCAGCGCGTCCCGTGGGAAATCAAAATTCATGCGATGAGAGCGGCGAACGGGCGCGCACACGTGCGGATGGGAACAGGCCTATCCATCTCAGAGATGCTTGCCAAGGGTGGGTGCCCTCGCGAGTGATTAAATAATTGCTAATCCGGGTCCGTACTTAGGCAGTAATCTCGATAAGAGCAATTAGGCGGCCGCACACTTGCGGTCAGCCGCAGCTTCTTATCATTCATTCATTCATTGCAGAGCAATATCGGCAATCCTGCCGACGGATAAGACTGCGCTGTTTGTTCTGCGGAGGTTTCGCACCCGAAATTGCTTCGTTCGCCCTCCTGGCGGGATTAGAGGAGAGGCTGCCGCTGTTAATGTGTCTTTCACGCACCGCCGAGCTCAGCCGAAATTGGCCTCACCTCATCATTATTTAGCCATTTCCTTTGATTGAGGAACAATTGCAGCGGCGCTCGATACGGCCACGAGTTAAAGCTGTTTGAATCTTCCTCCTCTCGAAGCTAATCCACCCGTGCTTGAGGAAAGCGCGCAGCCAATCGACTTTATGGGTACGTTTATTTGCAAAATATCGCTCAACGAGGAGATTAGAGGGTTATTAGTCTTATTACTTCTTAATGCCAAACGTACATGTTTAGAATCTGATTAAATTATTACAAGAGCTTTTCAATTTGAGGAATTGTGATTATTCACTGCAATTAGAAAATTTTGCCAAGAAATAGGGGGAAGTAAATTTTATTAATGTGAATAAGATTTTTCTTCAATAAGATTTATTAGCTTTTAATATGTATATTAATCAGTAATTATTTAAATAAAAGTGTGCCAAAATTTCAAGTGTTAATTTCCAAAAATTGATTATGAAATTTTAAATTTTTGTTCCGATTTTATCGATTAAAAATGGTTGATATTGTATTTTTCATGAAATAAATATATTAAAATTCAATTTGACTACACACTGTTCTTCATGTAGTGTTTTTTAGGTCAAATATTGGAATTCCTAGCAGAGATTGGGGACGTAAGTACCCTTGGTGAGGGCAATGGCCGCGCCTGATCTGGAGGCACATAAAATGAATTTGCCTGAGCGGCGCGGCATTAATTCAGCGAGGAGGGTCTCCGGCCGGCACCAAATAAATATGCTAATTTTTCTGCAGCCGCCCTATGATGTAATAGGACCCTTCTGGGAGCCGTTAGCCTGAAAGGGTATATTTATGCAATTCTGCAAGCATAATACTTAATTTCGCGCTTATCTCGAGTGCAGGCGTCCTATAATATCTCACGCAAAGTTTGAAAGGAATAAAATTGCGTAATCCACAGTCGCAGCAGCTGCTGGAAATAATTTTAATCGCATTCGAAGAAAAGCGCCGAAGGTGGCGCAAAGACCGACCGACCGGCGGCAGCTGCATGCTAAACGATAGCCGCCGACCGGCTGGCCTCGAGGGTGCACCTTATAAAACGTCGTATAATGCCCACAGGCAGCGAGTGTAATACGATTACGCTGCCGGATTAGCATATGGAAATTATCAACCCCAATTAGAGAGTCGTCGCTGCTCCGGCGGACATCTGTGCGCCAGATATGGCGAGTGGCAACTTGTGCGTATTTATTGGCGAAGGGCAGTGGGAAATTATGTCCGTCAAAAAGTTGAGCCAGCCAAGCCAACCGACTTTTGGTCCGACTTCCAAATGACCTGTCCGCCGACGCCGGCACAATTCTGCGACTGGATTCACAGTCTTGTAATCAAATTATGCATCTGGAGAATCGTAGCACGGAAGTTTTATATTTTGCCTCTTGTCTCAATCAAGATAATATCTATATTATTCCTTTAAATTTATATCATATATATTTATATATTTGTGGCACCGTAATTTTTATGAATTACTAATATATAAGTGTAAGTTTACGTTTTTAAATATCCCAACATTAGAAGCCACTTACATTATGACACAACTTTCAGTCTCGTTCTAGGAGTAGTAGAAGTACTAATATTATTAATTTATGAGTACCAATCATGAGCCCTTTACCACTAAATATTTTTTAAACTTATTACTTAATTACATAATATATAAAAAGAACATTTTATCACCCAATGATTAAATTTGAATAATAATTAATAATAATAATAAAATTATTAATAAAACTTGTTTATAAGATATAAAAAATATTATAAATTTTTATTTCTAAAATTAAAAAAAAACTTGTAATAAATGTTTATATATTAAAATAATTAGCTTGCGATAAATGAATTTTTATTTTATTTAACTTACGTTTTAATTTATTTGTTAAATATCAATTGTGATATAATCGTTACTCATATTGTTTTGTTTTCTTATGAGCGGCTGGGTGCGGCTTACCAGTTTATCGATATTATATCTTTCTTACAGATACGTTTATTTACTCTCACAATTGGCAAAAGAGCATAGACATAAGAAATTGATTTTGGATCCAACGGTTTTGAAAGTGGATTTGCCAAGAAATTCGTCGGACGAGCTATCAGTTTGGCCAAAGTAGCTGCCTCGCTGGACTGCGATCGATGGTGAGATGTGTCTGCGGCTGCTGGCCAGTCGCAGTGACGGACGCATTAATTAACCATCGAAATTTAATGCACAGGGAGGACCATCGGTCCATTTGCCCTCTCACGGAACTCTTGATGCGATGACAGGGAGGAAAGTCTTCTTCTCAGGCCGACATTGCATTTGCAGAGGTTGCGGCAGAATTAAATAAAATTTCGACTTTTGGCTGAAGCTGCTCATGAATTATTTCGTCAGCAGAAAGTTGGAAGCGGCATTGTTCTTTTCCTTTGAAGAGGAAAGAAAGCTGCTCTTAACCTAAGCGGCGCGCCGGTCCCAGGAGTTCCCATTTTTCTCGGGACTACCAAACAAAAGCTGGTGCGTGTTCCACATCATCATCATCTCGACGGCGGCGTAATGCAGTACAGGCTCCGACATATTCTTTTCTGCTCGGCTGCTTTTTGCCAACTGCACAAGATTAAATCAAGTGCGCGCGCCTCCAGCGAGCGAAATTGCCCGATTTTCGGCGCACAAATTGCTCTGCTAACAAACGCTTTGATCTTCATTCTGAGAATTTCATTCTCCTTTATTATTATTATTTTTATTATCAGAAAAAAGGGGAATATTTTTATTTGGCAAGTAACCAAGAGCAAAATAATCAAGAGGATGAGATAAATTAGAAATAAATTGTTAGTTAATCAGTGTATTTGAAGAAATAAAATCAAAAGATAAAAGGGCTCTTCCGTCATTTTTGTGATATGGCAAATATCATAATCATAAATTTTCCAGCAAAATGTTCCAAAGAAGAATTTAATTATGATCCCGGATATATTTTTAGAAACGTTCTAAAATGAACTTTTATATTGAATATCACTTTTTCGGAGAAAACTGTTGATTAATTTTCCAACCAGCCGTTTCGCATCGAGTTTTATTATTGCCACCTTGTATGTACACGCATGGATGATAAATCAACGGGTTAATGCGTGCAATTAGCTCTGAAATTTGACGAGTGCAACCGTTTGTCGGAATCGTCTCTCTAATTGGGGCCATAATTTCAATCATCTTCATCAGCTTAATCGACTCTCCACCCTTTCGGTTCAGCTTCATTAGGAACGAACGAGCAAATCCTAATGAAATTACTCGACGCGGACCTGGGCGTGTTTTCGAGTGTGTGAGCTCGTCGCTAATTTTGAAAGTTTGGAGGGTGCGCTATCGCTTCAAAATAAATCGAGTTAGATATGGAAATATTACGATCACTGGTGTGTGCAATCGCGAGGGTGAAATAATGTACCATACTTTATCTGATTAGACAGATAAGAGCTGGCGTGCGTATCAAACCCTATTGATCTAAACTGTTCATATTACATTCGAATGTAATCGCATAACTCAAAAGCGCTTTGAATTTCAATCATTTATTTCATTGGCTTTATAAAAATTAATTATTAAATTTATTATGAAAATTATTTCCATAAATGTAAAATTTTATAAAAAAAAAATTGCTGCTTGAATAAAATTTTATGTCAAAGAAATAAATAAAATGTTTTAATTTTATAAATAAAGTACATAAAGTCAAAAAATACATTTTATTAAGGATATTTTTTTTTTTTTTTTTTTTTTTTTTGAACTGAGATATTTTTGTACTCACCCTTGAGCGCCCTCTGTAGCTGGATCCACTGTCGCCATAGCCTCTTTGTGGGTACTGCAAACATAAGGGGGTGTTGGTTAATTACGGCGAGTAGTGACTCCGCATTGTAAAAATCGAAAGAAGTAAACAATGCGCGTCGCACGCCGCCCATCGTAATAAGCATATTGTTTTTATTGCGCCCAGCATTATGGAAATATGCGAGCGAGAGTGCGAGACTTAAAACTGTTTTATTGCGCGAGGAGCAGCCGCTAATGCCTCTGTACTACATAAAACTAGACATTTACGGTTTCGGGTTTTAGCGGGTGTAATTTCATTCTACCCTCTCGCTCTATGTACCGCGCGTACGGACAAACAAAGCTCAAGAGAGAGAAAATAAAACACGCGGCGCGGGGAGTGCTTTCGGTTTGTTGCGGTCGGCTTTTTCTATACGCGCGCCACATTTGCATAACGGGCAATAATTTAGCCCGCTCTACGGGCTTGTTTTGCACCGGATTATAATCAATTATACATGTTGTGCCGTCGCTTTTTCCTCTCTTGTTCTCGCGCACCGCGTGTCCGGCAGGCCTGATTTATTGTTGTGCAATACGTCTGTGTGTGTGTCTGTCTGTCTGCCAATCGGCTGCTTTGACATTTTCAAAAGGCCAGACAATCAAGTGATGGATTTAATTTGTATAAAGGCACGCAAAAAAACTCAGCGGGGACCCATTTTGCATTCACCTGAAAAGTCATTTACATCATTTAGTTATCTAATTAAAAACATTTCCAAAAAATAAAAAAATATTAATACGTAAATATTTTTGCTCGATACATATTCATGAAATAACAAAAGGACAAAACATTTTTGTATATTTCAAAGCTATGAAAGAACATACTTTACTATTAAAAATTAAACATATACTTATTTATTTAAATCGGCCGTTTGTAAACTTAAGGGTGCCTTATTTTTTTCTTATTTCTTTTCAAAATTTAATCAGAGTTCCAGAAATGCCATCACCACCTTAAGTTGGTCTGCTTTTTCATAAATAAAAAATCTTATGACTCAATTTGTTTCTTGAGAGGTCATGCGTAAAGGGACACTGCTGGATTTCTTGCTGTGCTCGAGAAATGGCGACACTCGCTCATGTGCTGCAAAAACAGTCGACGCCCTGATTAGACACGGCTGCAGAGGGTCTTGGGCACATCAAAGTGTTCTGCCGAGCAGACGGCGAGACGCAGGTTTCCTTTTTTGCACACGTGTGTGTACGCACGCGAAAACGCGGACTGCTCACGTCCTTCTTCGCTCTCTTTTTCTGGCGGCGACGAGGTGGTTAGTTGCATGAAAAAGACGACGAGGGCTCGAGGTGCCCATTAAATTTAATAGCTGTCGTTTAAAGTCTCTTATTTCTTTGTATTTGAACGCGCTCGCAGCAATTTCCTCCTGCGTGTGTGTCTCTCTCTTTTTTCGCGCTGCTTCTCATTACACACCAAGGTTTTGCGTCCCTCCCACTCGCTTTAGCATTGGAAAATAATGCGCTCGTAATTGTCCTGCTACACATGAAGCCCAGCATCAATCAACGGCCCCTTATACATTCTTTTATGCGTTTCCCGAGTTGGGTAAAATTTCTATTCGCCGCCCACACGTTGAGCGACTTGTAATGAGAAAAGCGGTGCCGGCACAAAGGACTTTTGTAACGGCTTTAGAGTATTCCGCGGATCAAATTTGCTTTACTCCCGCATCAGCCCGAGTCTAAATTTTTATCCGCCTTTTGCCTCCCATATTGTATCCGTTTTGTTACATTTTTATTCTTTCCGGCGACAAAAATTTTGTAAGGAGCGCTATACAAGGTTTATTTTTGCAAAAAAAATTATCTGCTCTTTGCTGTACAAAGGAGACGCGCCAACAATACAGAATTCGTTTAAGGATATTTAAGCTAGTACTTACAAGAAACTTGCAAGGGCGAGTACAAATGAAAAGAGAGAAAATATGCACATTTTATCCCTTGGTTTTGGCAATTTTTTAAGAGACAAATTAAAGAGTAATTGAAGTACATATTTCTGCTTAAATAATATTAGGTTATCGCAATAAAGCACAAAATATAATATTTTTTTTTTAAACTTCATTATATTTGTAGAATTTAAACAATTTAATTTACCTATATTATTAATGTTTTTTATTTGTCCACATTTGCTTACATTCAATTGGTGGAAAACAAATTATTTAAAAGAGGATCTGTTAAACGAAACGGCTCCATCACTTATTGCAAGAAAATTCCGAGAACAATAAGACCCCATCCGCCTCAGTTGGCTAAGTTTTTGCTCTCATCATGATCTATCCATATTTTTTTTATAAAATTATAAAACCGCTCTAAAATTGATAATAAGTACTTTTGTCATAATATGTATGAATATTTACTACTTTTTTCTTCCTCATTGTGTCAGCTCTTAATTTAATTAGTTAACATTTGAAAATTCTACATTTTTCTTGCCAAACCTTCCAATATTTATCCAAATTTTGTCTCAGGTTTAATTACAAAAATTATCTATTTCAATAGCAATGGATAATTTTTTCAAGAAAATTTCACCCGGATTCGTATTTCAGTCAGCTGTCAATTTACGCAGGAAAAGGTAAATCGATTCATTACCTGTCCCCAAGGGGAAAAGGAAATAAATACCGGCTGTCAAAGTGTCATCTTGTTGCAATATTTCTCCTTTTGTGCGAGGCTTTCTCGCCTTCATTGGCAACAACTCAGGCCCGCTCGGGGGGACGTGTCGGGTCTGACTTATCAGAGACAAAACACACACACGCGTGTGCTAGAATTTCGGCGGCGCCTTTTGAAGTGCGAGAGCTGGCCTGCGGGGTTTGCAACGGGCCTAACTCTTTCCCTTCGGCTGACACACGAGAAGATGAAGAAGAACACAAGGGGAAGAAACAAGCAAGGTGCTTTTACAGCTGATTTATAGTCGCACGCCGCTCTCGGTTTGGGCAAAACACGCCCCGGCGCTGTCTGCGCGAAAGGGCCGAGCTATCCATCACGCAAAAGAGCGAGTTGCACACGCACGCGAAATCTCGGAGGCAAATTTGGCGCCGCGGGCAGAGGTGCGGCTCCTTATTATCTTTATACATACGAAATGAAAGCGACCTCCCCAGATGGAAGACTTACCAGAGCAGGGGCTACAAACAAAGCAATTTAACTTTGACTGCGAGAAACCGCACCACCCTCTTTGTCAGCCCGAGTTTGAATGGAGACCCGCATAAGCGACTCCAAGTTTTCTGGTGCTAAATTTGAGCTCTTTACTTTCTCGCTTGCCTTTTATCATTTAAACTCTGCAAAGATGGAAAAGCATAGAGTTGATCGCGCTCACAGATTGTTTTTGCCTCTCAAAATTACGACTCGATTGCTTTAGATAGCAAAATTAAACTCACTTTTAATTAATGAGTAAGTAAATAAAAATTCAAATTAATCCTTTTAATATGTTATGGTTTTTAATTATAACAAATTGAAAACATCAACAGGCTTACCTAAAAATTGCAAACGGTTACAGGAAGAATTGAGTTACAAATCCCTCTGGAGTTTGTGGTATAAATATTTAGCCTTTGATGAAATTCAGCCTTTTGATCACTTGACCATCATGTGACGCTAAAAATAGTCACCATTTCAAAGGCCAGCAAAAGTGACGTTTGACGTCAATCCAACGTAAAAACTAATGCTTGTGATTAGTGGATGAAAAATTCCCATGAGACCGAGTGAAGTTGACAAACCAGACCGAATACTTTGCAGCCCACAAGGGAGATTATTTTTTAAATTGGTCGCATAACGTTTCCATTAAAGGATATCTCTGCAATAAAGGAAATGGCTGCTAAAATTGCAACAGTTCTTCTTATGTTGCATTATTATTCTCCAGCACTATATTATTTTGTATAATTTTGCCTCGCAGAAACACCTTCCTTATTCTTTATGGCGTAAGAGGCAGCAGCAGGCACTTGTTCCAAGGAAACAACAATCTCATTAGAGGAGGCGGATCGACGACGACGAGAGGAAGAGTAAAAACAATTGTATAAACTCGGCTGCTTTCTCTCGTCGGCTTGGAAATAAGCTTATTTACTGCTGCTGATTCTCGTCGAGCGCAGCCTTATTTACCGCTCCTCGTCCGCTTTTTGCCGCTGAAAACAATTTCGCCGGCGCATCCCGTTGAGAATGCAATCTCGAGGATGTAATACTCTGAAAATCCAGCTAATCGATTTTTAAGGAACTCGCGTATACGGAATGAAATTTCGCCAAGACGCTGATTATCTCAGACTTTGAGAGGGTACAAGGGTATGGGAATTTTTTAAATTTCAATTTTCTTCGAAGAAAATTAAACTGCCTGGATGTTAGAGGAATTTTTCTATTTTATTTTGCCGCTAAAAGAATTCCATTCCTCCAGTAATAATGTAGAGCATATTTTTTAAATTAAAGAAAGTAATTCTAAGCAGCTCCTTTTATGAGAGAGAAATTTTTATTACAAAATCCTGAGAGCAATTTGTCAAGTTCGGCATTATACCAGAATTACATTAATTTTCAGAGAGGCTTTTCAAAGAATTACAAAAGAAAAGTAAGTAATAGAAAGGTTCGAAAGAATTTGAATTGAAAAGATTATTTTTTTTCCATTAGCAAGAAAAGCAAAAAATTCGTTCATTTCAACTCGATTTGACATGCAATTAACATTCATTGCTTTTTTGTACTTTCAAATAAATCCTCATCGATCAAGCCGAAGCGAATTCCGTCACAGCAGTCGGGGGCATTTGCTTTATTGGCTGGAAAGTATGCATGGAATAATAAAATAAATTATTACATGTGTGTGCGGCGCGTGACACAATTGCACGATTGCCTCGGCGACGGGGCCGCGTGCGAGTGTAGTTATATTTTTCAAACGAGTGCCTCTGATTGCGCTCCATGTCAGAGAGCCGGAGCAAGAGAGACTCGGAGCCGCCCTGCTTATTAAGTCGTCATCGCGAATTCATTTCCATCGCAGATTCAATTTCACACTGAATGGCTCGGCTGATGTGAAATCGCGGCCATGCAAAAGGAACAACGTTCCCAATGCTGAGAGCTACATCAACCGCGCCTTTCATGCATCGCGAAATTGATTCTGCCAGAAAAAAGTTGAGCCTGGCGAGGCATTTTCAAGATTTAAACTACTTTTCTTTTATAGCATTTTAAATCAATTCCTGGGACCTGATAATTTAAAATCTTACTTTTTATAACATGATTTGATTGAAAAATTGTTACAAATAATTATATGAATTGCTATCTTATTCATTAAATTTTAGTTATCAAACTTTTAGCGCTTAGCAATTCAGAACTTACAAGATCAGATATTTTTAAATTTTTTATAAGTTGGCACGCTCAGAAGTTTTAAATTCCATTTTTAAAAAAAGAGACAACATAAGATGTTAAACTGAACAAATCCCATTGATGATGAAGTTAAAAATTGATTTAATATTATATTTAATAATATGTTAATATATTATTGCTGTTTCATTTTCATAAATTTCAAATAAATTCCCGAAAACTATATTTTTAACATTAAAATTATAAAGCTTTATTTAAAATGATGTTAACTTATATTTAAAACATCAAGTTTCTTTCCTCCCTTAGCCAGCGGGAAATATTGACTGTCGAAAGCCAAAAAAGAATTGCTGAATTGCCGAGATCCTCCCCGTCGGATAAACCTCTACATTGAGAGCAACGGCCGTCATTAAATTAAACGCCCCATAGAACGCGATAAGGAAGAATTTGGACGATCTGCGAGGGATCGGAGGGAGGCACCTGCACCGTTTTCGTTTCCCCGGCCAAAGCAAAGACGCGAGATTATGCGGCGGCAAATGAGTGTGTTTTTGCCGTGTTTTCTTCATCGTGTATAGTAGGACTGTGTTTAGTACAAGATTAATTACTCGGCTGCGTTGCTGACAGTCTGACTCCCTATCAATCAATCGGGCGAGAAGGAGCGAGACGCCTCAGGAGCCAAATGATTAATCGCGATTTCGGCGCGCAACATTTCTATCATCAACTCCCACGCGCTTATCGTCCTCGGCGAATCCGACTCGGATAATTGCTGTTTACCTTTCTCGAAACGCCAAATGTTTATTTATCACCGAGAGACAACCTGCAGAACGTTTCCTGCCATCATTATCCGAGAGTGCTTGCAAAACTTTTGTGCTTTCGGATAAACTTTCAGAGTCGTGAGAAAAATGGGACAAAAAATGTTGACTTGTTATTTCTGGACCGCAAAGTTGTTCTCTTGTAGATGGACGGATCATTAAGCACGTTGACGACGATTTAATTGTGACAAATATTCTATAAGTATTGGAGCAAAAAAGCCCCTGAAATTTTTTGGTACATAAATTGATCTTATGACAGAAAAAAATCAAAATAATCGCATACTATCGGTGTGTGCCTATTTTTCTCCCAAAATTTTTGATTGTTTTGACTTTTATGTTTTGAAGAAAATTTATATATGTACTGAAAATGTTTCCTACCTTTCCAATTCCGATCTCTCTGGTGGAAATGCCCATCTTTTCGTGGTGTCTCAGCTGCACCGGGTAGATGATTTGATAGTAGTGGGCCCCGATGTTTCGCACCATTTCCTGGTTTTGGCGGTACTCGCGGAGGAGCCGCTCCACCTCGTCGGTGTTGGTGCCTGCAACAAGGAAAATCTCACTTTAAAAAATAAACTCCGAGGAAAATGATTAACAACAAGGGCAACCGCAAATTTATGTTGGAAATTGTTTCCTCGTTAGAATGGCGGTCTAAGCCTGGGCGACGACTTCAATTAAACTCAAATCAGAACCAAAATGTATTCAGTGCGTTGGAGGAAATGGTTTTATACAGAGATGCTTTGTGGGAGCCATTTCCCTGTGCACTTAAAAGGAGTTATGGTTTATTAATTAATTTTGTGCTGTGTAGAATAACAGTGACGATTAAATAAATGAAATGTTAGACTTGATGGTCTTGATGCTAGGATTTAGGCAAAATTCATTAAATTTAAATCTTTGGTGGAGTAATCCAATGTTTTTATTTCCAAAGATATATTTTAACTAAAGATTTTTAAAGTTAATTTTTATTATTTATGTAGGATTAAAAAATTATTTTGTAGTAGAATTTCACGGTCAAGGGTTGATTCATGGTGATTTGAATTTAAAGTCAGCTTTTCCTTGAGGTGAGTTGTTGAGTGTTTAAAAAAAGGGAGCAGGATATTGTTTTTATTGAACAATAAACAACTCACAAAACCCTTCGAGGAAAAGCTGACTTTAAATTAAAAAAACCCATATTTTTTCATGTTATTTTTATGAAAAAAGCAATCTACCATTATGTTTGACCTACATGATTTATATAAATGGTATTTCCATATTGTCTTCTCATGTTAAAACATTTGATCTTACCCCAAGACCTTTGATTCTACTGAATTCCAAACAGTTCGCCGGCAATATCTCAATACCCAAGTTTACATCAACATTGCATTTCCCTTACCCGGCGCTAATTTTAGTCCCCCGCCGAGAAACAGAAGCCCTTTGCTTTGCCTCGCTGGCGGCAGCACGCGCGTAATTATCGGAGGCTCGTCGTGTTTGCGTCTTTATAATATTAAATGTCAACGACGACAATTTAATTATTCTGCGTGCACGCAGGCAGCAAAACAATAGGGACGTTCGTTGTTCTGCCGTATTTACGCTCGAGCCAGTCTCTCTCTCTCACTCAACAAGGAACTAATTAATATTGCATCCACTTGCTCGACGAGCTAGAAGCTCTCCTTGATTATTCGACCTGAGGACGGAGCCCGGGCCAGGTGAGTCTGTTCTGCCTGTCCCGCTGAGTGAGTTCAAGACAAAGGAATTTATTAACTTTCAAACGTCACAGGCACACTTTATGCAAATTTCACCGTCAAAGGGGCGCCAGTGACACACGGACAAAATTAATTTAGAAATTAGGAAATCAATCTCTAATAATTCTAAATTTAAATCGATGTATTCAATTCTTAATTGTAAGGAGATATTTTTCAATTTTAATTTTTGAAAGTAGTAAAAAAGCGTTTCATTTGATAAAAATATCGTTTCTCTATTTATTTAAAGTTACTAAAAGTGCGATTTCTAGCTGTCATGGTAAGGTAAAAAGATTCATTAACGGACCAGAGATGTTTTTCCTCGTTGGATTCTCATCTCATTCCTTTTCTAAATAACAGTAAACATAGCCGGGCAAACGCAATTAGAGACGACGGTATAGCACGTGAGCAGAAAAAGAAGTCTCAGAAATCGACACCTGGACCCACGTCGGCGGTAGTTAGGAAATAAAAAAAGAGCACGTTGGGCGTTGTTGGAAGAGCACACGTTGGCACGACGGGTGTAAATTGATATTAAATAAAAGACAACACGCGACGTGAAATGATTAAGTCAAGGGTGCTCGAAAAGTTGCCGCGCCGATCGCTTACACGCTCTCCAGAGTGATATTTCATTACATTTTTCATCATCCCCGGCCGATACCGTTCGGTCGGTCGGTCTCGCCTCTCCCGGCTATTTATATAATATCCTCTCGGCACTGTAAGCCCCACTCGGAGCGTGAAATGAATTGAGTGGCCTGCCAGTTCGCCAGCCTCTGCGTGCCTCTTATCCGAACGTGAGCAAAGTAGCGACCTACGCCAATAATTAACACTTTTCCACAGACGCTATGCTCACCATCAGGCCCAATATCTCTCCACGAAAGAAACGGGGAAATTGCATCCAGCAATTGCAACTCATAAAAATCTAAAAACTGAAATACAAGAGCGTACTTGTGAATTACTCAATTTAAATTTAAATCAATGAAAGTGAAGCATTTTATAAAATGTGTAAATTGTATCGAATATTTAAATTAAGTTTAAATTAAATTTTAAGCTTCAGATTTTTACTTAATATTCAATGCTGTAGGTTTCAGAAAAGAGGTAATTTTAAATAGGTGCTTTATTAGTGATTTTTATCAACTGTTAGGTTGCAATAGGTTGCAAATAGGTGAGAAAATGTTTTGCAAAAATTATGTATATTTTTAAATGTTTAAATACATTTTTTTTTATAAAAATATGTGAGGTGGAATTTTTAAAACCAACAGTAAGTGATAAAAGATAAAAAAAAATCTCTGAACGGGTAGTTTAAAAAATGATAAATTGTCGTTAATTTATCATTAAAAAGGTAATTTTGGGTGATTCCAAATTGACAAGCTGTCAATTTTATATAAAAATTATTTATTTTCGTCTTTATTTGGACATTTTAGTTATTTTCCATAAACAAGTGAAAAAGGTGATCAGTTATTTTGAGTTATTTCTCTTATTCCTATCCACAGATTATTTTTAGCTCCATTTCTTATGGCGCTGATAAAAAATTTGCAAATAACGATCGAGACAAAATTCATCAGGGTCTCGCGAGGCGCGAATAATCAGAAAATTGGCCGCCGATCATCAATCGTGCGCAAAACAAAGGGTCTGTTTTTGACACAGCAAGAATGTCTGTGCACCGACGTCGGCGGCAGCCACGGCGCGCGATGATTATTTTTCTCGCCCAAGAAAATTCGCTGGCATATATTACGGGACACATACATATATGTACACACGGGGTGCTGGAAAAAGCAGCCCCGAGCAAAAACCGCAGAGAGCGCGCGCCGGGGCGAATCGATATTTTTTAATTTCGCATTTAATAAAGGGTTTTTGCAGGCGCCGAGGCGGTGACACGACGCCTTGTTTGCTCACTCGCGCACTCGACGGCGCGGCCGCGGGCTTGATCCGATCTGACAAACGAACTGACAAGGAAAATCGATTTGAAAAACATGCAAAAATGGCACTCATTTACTCACACAAATAACAGAAAAAAAGGTGAACAGTTTAAAAAAATAAATGAAATTATACAATTAAGAAATTAGTATCTATGCCAAAATATAAATGTATTAAACATACAATTAGAAGAATCAGGTTTTATCTAAATTTTACATTTTTCATTGTCTTATTTGGAAAGGTTGCTTTGCTTGATCTATCAAATCAGTTTAAAGTTTTAGATATAAGATTTGTAAAATTTATCAGTGTTTAATATTTAAAAAATATTCTTCACATATAATATTAAAAACATGAAGAGTTGTGTTTTGTATATTGTTAGTTGTAGTAAAAGCTATTCTTTATTGTGTTAAATTTACATGTTAACATGCTTGTACACATAAATACACACAATAACATTTTGTGATATATTTTTTTTTTAAATTTAAATTTTATGTATATTTTTAACTGATTTATTTTTTAACGTTTATTAAATTTTTTTATTTTTTAAATATAATGTCATATGAATACAACAGCTTAGTAGAATTTTAAATAACAATTTATAAAATATTTTTAAATTAAATTGTAAACAAAGTTTATTAGTGGAATTTAAATATAAAAAATCATGATTAATATGCTCACATTATCTAAAATGAAAATTTAATCACAGATCATGTTGAATTCTGTCATTTATGATTGTGCATTTTACGTTAATTTAGGTAACAATATGAGTATTAATATCTTATTCTAAAGAAAAATATTTTGTAAGTTAATATTAAATTAAATATGGTTGCCTGAAATGGAAATCCAGAGAAAAAAACGAGTTGGTCTTATCTCTTTTTATATCAATCTGCACACATCGCCTGCAAGTGACATCATTATGATGTAACAGAGACATCACATCCTGCCACGCCCGTCTAAAACAAGCACTTTTTGCATACTTATGGGCAGGAAGGCGTGCGGCGGCGATAATTTATTCCACGCGTATCATTTTCAGCGCACTCCATGGAAATTAGATTGTCTCTGTGCAGGCCGCGAATCGAGCAAGAGAGAATATGTGTGTTGCGAACACGCGCTTGGATTAATATTAATGGCTGGTTAAACAGGCAGCTTCGGAAGCTCTTTCGCGAGAGCAGGCGATATTTTACACATTCCTCTAATCTGAATATTCACGCGCACATCCACGGCTGATCCGTTGATGATATGCAGTCGCAGATAAGCGAACCAACGGGAGCCGCTCTCGAGCCGCAGGATCAACAAACACTTTTCATTACACGCTGCTGACACATTCTACCTTCTCGTTGGTTCGTTCGTTCGTTCGGCGGTATTATTTATTCCTTCCTCAGATGCACACTCGCTGCTTTTGACGGCATCATCATTTTGCAATCCGCCTCCAACGCCGCCGATCTCCATCTCTCTTTCGAGAGCAACCAGAGAGAGAGAGAAATAGAGATTTTACCTTTCAGCTCTTTCGACAGTATCACGGTTTCAAACGGCGGCCTCCACAGTTGCTGCTTTTCACCCAAATGCAGGCGGCGTAATTTTAGATTTACGTGACACAAAAGGATCGCGTTTCATAAACATATTTTGAATACTCTTAAAAGCGAAATATGATAACTTTGGCCAAAGAGCGAGCTGAAGTTCTGTGTTGGATAAAAAGCGGCGATTGTTATTAATGTTGTGAATAGAAAGTCAAAGGGTATGGGACAGATTTTGACTCCGAGGCAAAAATATAAACAATTTTTCATTAAAAATGAGATGTAAGATAAATTATTATTTTACATATTTAGAAGGAGGAGTCAATATCATAATCTTCCAGTTCAAACTTTTCTTTTTTATTCTCGCTATATTTTTGAGGCTCATTTTATAATTATTATTATTATTTGTTATTCTCGGCCAATACAAAAATTTTAAATTTGAGGAAGAAGAGAAAAAAAAGTTGTTTTAAATTTGAAATACATAAATTATAGGTAATAGCAACGGACTGTTATGTGAATAATCAAAATTGCTTATGTGTGTAATTCAACAATAATTGAAAAGGCAAAAACAGTTTCATTCTTGCAAGTGGAAGTTTTTGTGGCCACATCACTTTTGGAGGAGGCATTTTCATGTTTTGTGGAATCTCCGATTGTAATAAAACTCGTGGTAAGAGCCCTTCTTGTTAAAAAGTTCATTCCCAGGCCGGGCATGGCAAATCTCAAGTGGCGAGGTGAAACGCTTTTAAGCCGTATATTTTTTTCCTTGCAAGAAGCAGACGACCACGAATTGGGCCTTCACGCGAGAGCAACAGCATAAATACGCCCAAGTAAAAAGGCGGCAACCAAACTACGGCCGTTTGTCACGACGAGTGGCGACACCGTCGTCGCTGCAAAAAGCAGGACGGTTGCCGGGCGACCAGAAATCTCGAGCGATGCCCAGAGCAGACGGGCCGATTTTGATATTTTCGAGCGTGTTCCATTTTGTTGCCGGCCGCACAATGGGCCTCCCATTGTATGGACAAAGCTGCTGGCAAACACAGAGAGACGCGTTGCTCTAGTGAACTATTAGATAATGCAGCGAACAAGAGGAATTTGTGTCTCTGGCATCGTTTGTCTTGGCGGTGTTGATGCCTTGACAATTCCTCTCTCGCCTGCCACTTTCTCTTTAAGAAGGGCCACGCCGCGAAACAAATGACGCAGGAGGGAACGACGCAAATAAAATAAGAGCAGCACCAACGCTTGACAGATGTTCTAATGCAAACCATTCATTCTCTGCGCGAACCATTTCTCAAACGTGCTCGCGAATGCATCTCCAAAATTAACTATTAACTTTTCCATTGTAAGTGAAAAGCTGACTGAAAATTCCATTTAATTTGTTGCAAAAATCATGCATGTGTTTTTCTGCATAATTTGGAATATCAATTCAAAAATTTAAGTTAAAAAAAAATTGTATTATTGACTAAATTTTGAATTTATAATTATCTAAACCACTTGCAACAGATTTCATATTTTTCCCTGAAAAGAAAAAGTTTTTGTACCCAGTTAATATGGACGTCATAATAAATTCAATCGTTTCTCTCTGTTTTTTTTCTGTTCTACTATCAAAGCTTATTATTACTGTTTATCAACTTTTTGAAAAAAAGCAGCTTCAATCAGCAGTTGAAAATTATATTGCGATACTAACCCTTGTGGGAGCAACTCACACATGCGTGTTAAATTATTATCCCGGCGTTAATATTAAAAATCACGTTCCCTGGCTTATGCTGAGTGCGTTTGTGTGAAATGAAATACCACGTACGCCGACGACAGTAGAGCCGTCGGCGCGTGACCAGCATCGGCCCCAAGATAATTACGGCCACATTTAAATAATAAAACCCCTGCAGGATTCAAAATTAATCAAACTTTTTCAGCGCTGAAGCGGCAAAACGAAACGCTATCCGCTTAAAGCATGGAAAAAATGTCACGCGGCAACATTTTTTGCTCTCGATAATTAATTTTCACGCCGGCGGGCATTAGAGGGAACGAGGAGTTTGCGTGGAAAACGAGGGAACCAACGAAGGACTGATTTGCATTTTGTGAACTCCTGCTGGGCGGGAAATGTTGTTTTTCGGGCAAAATAAATGTTTTCCGAGCAACATGGTGGAGTTGTACACTATTGATTTTGCCTCTACTAATTTCAACCCGCATGTTGACTTTCGAGCTTTGCGAACTCCTGGAAAAAAAGTTATTTTAAGGCACAAAAAAATTAAAAAAAAAATTTCTTTAAAAAATTGCTTACTTTGCTTGATATTTAGATGAAGAAAATTATCAAATTTTTTTTATTAAATTTTTGCTTCCAAAAACCGGTAAAACCTTTTGTCAGTTCAAAAGAAGCTTACATGCACTTTAAACTTAAAAACAGGCGCTCTCACTCAGAAAAAATCTTTCACAATGTGTCGCTGCTCACGGTATTATCCTCGAGCAGCGACTCAGCACTAATGATCTGTCCACGTTTTCACCCTGGAAAAAAGAATCTCTAGCTGTGTGCGTTCCAGCTCGGGCGCCTAATAGGTGTGCTCTTGGCGCAGATCCAGGCCTCTGCTGTCCTCTCTTTCTCTCCTAGATATAACGCAAATCACTTTCCAATCAATCATGAACGTCAGAATCGGGCCCGCGTCAGCAGATGCACTGGCTGCGGAAAATGCAACCATTTTCCGATGCAAACACAAAATAAACGAGTCGTTTTCGCTGACGCAGCTGTTGATAGAATCTGCAGCCGGGCACGATTCTGCCTTTAATGAATGAACGAATTCTGCCGCGCTCATTTCCGCTTTTGCAGCATTCGCGCGCAAGGCTGACTTAGGAACCGGGCCAGAGTTATTGCCAACGTTGTTTGGTATAACAGGTGCATCAAATTCATGCCAATATTAACATCAGAAATTAATTTAACTCGAATAAGGTTTATTTTTTTCTAATTATGAAATACTATTTTCAGTTTGTTCTCTTTTGTATTATTAAGATACAAAACTTTGTGAGCAGAGCTGATTGATTAGTAATTAATTTTAATATTAGACTTCTGTGTTGAATACAGAGCTCTGGCTTTTTAATTAAAAAAGTAATAAAGTAAAAAAGCACTTGATCCTTTATAGCGAGTGGCTCTCGTTATTAATAGTCACACTGCCAGTATTGATTATAATAGACGCCAAGAGAGTTCACTGATGGTAAGTAAATATTTGCACGACCTCTTTCCATGTCGAGACAGTTAAGTTCTTAATTACACTCTAATTGTTCTGAGCTAAAAATTAATTTCATTTTTCCTTCTCATACACATTACATTTATTAGCCTCTACTCTTAATAGTTTTAATTTAAAAGAAATAGCAGTTATTTTTAATAATTACGGTAAAAACTTCTTGCATGTATGTTAGTTGCTACAACAGCGAAATATTTATGCGGGGTGAATATTTCCTAGATTATTCGCAAACAAAGCCTTCCAAATGCGCTTCGTCTCTTTCAACAGCAGAGCAAGGCAACACATTTGCAAAGCCGTGCTTGTTTTTTGCGGTTTTTCGATTCAGTGCATTCATCTACGTCGGCTCGTCCGTTTGCCGACGCTTCTCTCGACGCGAATTTACAATTTAAATCGTCGGCGCGCGCGTACGTACAACGCACTACTTGCTCCGCCGGCCCCTTTCCATGCATCAGCATAAATTTGTAGCCTAGCGAGCGAGCAAAGCGCCTGGGCTTTGATTGCGTAGGCAACTTGCGAAGTGGAGCGGACGTGCGGGTGGCCTAACCTGAACCGTCGACACGCCCAACGCGCTAAAACGCCCATTATTTTAGCAAAAAAATACCAAAAGGAATCCCAAAATAGTCGAGGACAAAGAGAAATGTCAAATTCCAAAAATAAAAGATCCGTGAAACAAATTTCTGCGTCAAATTGTTTCAAACATTTTTGGTTGATCAATACGAAAAGTAAATAAAGCTGATTATTTGGTTTTAATTAATGGAAAAAAAACTCACCACTCGTGGACGGTGTCTCCTCATTCCAATACGAATCATCCAACGCGTAGTCCGTCTCTGCAACAAACAAACCGATTTCATTAGTCGCGTAAATTGATTGCCAATAAACAAAAGTCCGGAGGCGATGCACATTTAGTGCGCTGGTATATATAATTAGCGATTTCCTGAAGGCTTTTGATATCTAGCTTTAATTGGCGAGAGCGAGCGGCGGAATTACAATAACAACAATATCATCGCGCCAAGAGACGGTTCCGGTTGCTCCCGCTTATCTTTATGGCAAGAGGCAGCGCAGCCCCCGCGCTAATTTACCGCCTCGCCTAGTCAAATTAACTAAAACAATAAACGGCTCCGGGCGGTGAAACACACGAGAGAGCAAGCGGTCTGGAGGGAGGGGGAAGGGCGCGAATCGATCGTGTTTGGATGGGTCGCATCCGTTTCGCACAAATTTACGCATATTGGCAAGTTTGTGAAATTGGTGTTTATTCGACGCAGATTAAACTGTCAATTAATTCTCACATTGGCGATACTGATGAGCTTTGGATAGCTCTGCTGATTATCATTTCGCAACACTTGTGCAAACGAAATTTTCAATTAAAATTTAAAGTCCCTTAAAGGGCAATCGTAATTTCCAGTTTAAAAAAAGTAACAGTAGAAATCAAATTTCAGTAATATAAATTTACGTCGTCTTTTTCACTTGGGCAGGCACTTCACGAAAATTCAAATTGGGTTCAATAGTGGTGAAGAAATCTCTGGTCGCACACTTTTCCCATTCGGCCGATGCGCGGTTTCCTTTTTCTGGAAAGCCAGAGGCCGTGTATCGTTTTTTTTTTCCACCAAGAACCCAGCGCACGGCATGTCCCGGGGTCATTTGCATCGGCGGCACGCCCGGATAAATGAGAATGCAGCCGAGATCGAGTTTGCTGAGCCCCGGATTACCCTCTGCGAGACACTGATTGAATCGGGCCTGCCACTGGATTTCGAGAAGCTAGGCCGGACGAGGCAAGAAACACGATTAACTCCAACAATAGCTTTCTTTGACTAACATATAAGTTTAGGACTGCCAAAGAGAACCAGCTAGGGCAGCTGCTGCGGAATCAATTGCAAACTCCTGAATGTGACTCTTCGCAGAAGGAAATCAGGCGTTTCCAGGTCAAAGATCAACGATCGCATTAAAGGGTATAAACGAGATTGGAAATATTTCATTTCAATAAATTTCATGAAACGTGGAATTTTTTTATTTATTTCATTTTATTTTCTTATTGATTTTGAAATTATTTTCTATTCCTAGAAAAAGTAGATTTGTATTTAATTGCACTAGCTGCATCGATTTCCCATTTGCACGGTTGATTTTGACGAGTGCTGGAAAAAGCATCGGAAATCATTAGGCCCTGATGATATGAAAGCCAATAAAACGAGGCCAAGCCCTCATCAACGGCCTGCTCGCTCTTTGTGCCAGAGCGAGGGAGAAAAGGTCTCGTCACGCTCCAGTACGCAATTTCGTCAACCGCAAAAGTTTCCACGGAGACTTATTAATATCCGCTACACTCAACTTTTCATTATTTTACTTTCAGATTTAATTAATTTTTTCCTTTCATCGTGGAAATCCAGCAGCGAGAAAAGACTCTCGCGCCTCCTTCCTACTGGAAATACAATTTATCTAGACGATTCAATCGCTCGGCTGCTCCTGCTCAGCTATTTAGCTTTATCTCTCGCGAGATAAAAATAATCATCTCTTGAAACGACGCCGAGCCAAAAAGCTTTTTTTGCTGAACACCCGCCTGACTGCTGCTTAAGGTTGCCGCCTGCAGTGACTAAGAACGAGTCAGAAGGAGGAAAAGAGAATCAGGAAAGGCGCCTCTCAGTTTTTCTATTTGCATCCAGGCAATCAAGTCGGGGGAATCGGGGGAATGCAACCGTATCACCAAGTTCAGTAAGCTGGCGATTAAGGCCATGTTCGTTTGCCACAAACTATGGAGACACTTGAGCCTTCTTTTTTCGTTTGGAAGTTTTAAATTATTTGCAATCAAAGTAAGGCGAAATTATAACGCAAAAGAAGTGACTTTGATATTTCTTATTTTCAAAACTTAGTTATTTCAAGTTAAAATAAATGGAGATATTTTTAAATTGTTTTGTAGCTTAAATTTCCTATTACAAGGGAAAAAAAATTTTTTATACTCCAGCTGATTTTATTTTAGAATAGATTTGTTAGGCTTAAAATCGTTCTTTCCTACAGGAGAACTTAAGCCGTCGACGAAATTTCAAAGTCAAATTGTAAAGCGCAAAGGCAAAAATTCTGTGCCATAACGAGCAGCTTACTCTTCTAAGAGAATAGAATTTTGCTGAAGGAGATTTTGGTACGGCAATATTGCGGCTTTGGCCGTCAACACTGATCAAAATATAATAGCAACTTTTGCCGAGTAATTCCGGCGATGCGAAAAGGCACAACATAAAAGCCGGCAAATCCGTTTTGCGAATGAAAACCGCAGCCAGCGTTCGTTTCGACGGTGGAATTAAGCCGGCGCATTATTTCCGGGGGTTGAATAATAGGAGGAGAAGATTTTTGCATGAATAGCCGCGCTCGGATTGAATGGCCTGTGCGGGTTATTAGGGCAGAAAACGAATCAGCAGCAATGTTTTGGCCGCCCCGTTCCATTTTGACCCTCCTCGCCACGTGTATACGCTGCTTATCTCTCTCCAGAGTCCAAAAGCCAAGCGTTTTTCAGGTGGATATGTCGAGTGAGGGCAAAAATAACTGCAAACACAAGAAGAGTGAAAGATTGCGATTTATCATCAGCAGCGAAGGGTGCTCGTGTCCTTTTTTATTTTTATATTTTCCCCCGGGACGGCGACCTTTTGAATCCACTGCTTTTTCTTTTGCTCGAAATATCGATGTATGATTGATTCTCGACGCAATAAATATCACTCGAGCATTAGAGTGGTTCGCCGCCACCGCGATGGACGATTTATCACTGCGTCGCCACCCGTCCGTCCGTCCGTCGGGCTTTTTTCGGTTGCCGATTTGCGTAATAAGCGGCCTCGCACGCCACTTTGCGAAACATTTATCAAGGCGAGCTAGCCGGCGCGAATTTAATTTTCTGCCCAGTCACTCGCTTTTTGCCGCCTGCAATTTTGGTGCCTCGCACTTTTCGCTCTCATGCGCTCCTTGAAAAGCGACGACAGACGAATGAACGCCGTTTTTTTTTATCTGGAAAAAAGATGAGCGGATGTCCAGTGTACATTACATAAGTTTGCAACTGATTCAATGTAACGATATTTTCGAGGCTAAATAATTAAAATAAAAATTTTTGATTTTGACATTTAATTAACTAAATTTAATTTACTATATTTGAGTCACCGTTATTTATTTCTGATAATTCTGGGGCTCCATTATCAGTCAAATAAAATATTTACTTAAGTAATTATTTTTATACAAATCACTACTTAAAGTCATTAAATTGTGATAGTTTAAATTTAGAAAACAACAAACTGTGTTACATTCACTTATTTAAAAAGGTTTTAATATCAATTTCAGAATCCAAACATTGATTTAAATTTAAAACTATTTGCATCAGGTTTTTTATTCAATTAAATATTAATAAAACCACATTTATCTTCATCCCATAATTTTCTGTTAAATTTAAAATATGATCAGATTTGCGTCTGAAGAGGGAAATTGAGTTTTCAAAGGCGGTGGCGGAACGAACGTTTGGCCCCAGCATGGCTAATTTGTGATGCTGTGTGCAAATGCGTGAGAGTTGCCGCGAGTGAGGGAGCAGTTTGCGCGTGCTGCGGTTTACAGCATAATTACAAAGGCTCTTTAAGTGCAAGACGCGCGCGATTGGGGCGCACTGGTTACGCCGGCGGAATTACTTGTCGCGGTTTTCCTCTCGACACTTTTACGACGACAAAGAGAGCGTACGTCGGCAGCCACCCTCTAAAACATCTCGTTAACAGCGGCATTTCGCTCAATCCTGCTCGCGCGCGACGAGGAAAAGAGTAGTCGACGAGATTGATTTCAATGTCCCCAGGCTGCTCGCGGTCGAATTTCGGAGCGCAATTTGCACAGTGTGAAAAAGTAGGAGGAAAGTCGGTCTGTAAAATTTTTTCGCTCTGAGCCACAAGGAACGTGATTTTTGCAAATGTTGAAAGAGGCGGCAAAGGCACAAAATGGGAAATTGATCTCAAATCGAATATTCAGGCAGTAGAAGTACAAATAAAAGTCATGGAAAGTGGAAAGTACATCAAAATTTGAAACGTTTTAGACATTTATAATTTATTTTGTTTGTAGAAGAAACAAATTTTTTCAAATAAATTAATAATGATCTAAAAAATATTTTTTAACAAAATTAAATTAAAATTTAACATTCACTTAATATATTATACAGTAGCAAAAAACTTTTTAACTAATCAATAGTTTGTTTTTTAAATTAAATCATAATTTCATGATTTGATCTCAGAAGTTTCAGAAGTTTGCAAGTTTCCGAAAATTCCTTTTTTTAAATAAATTGTTTTCAACAATTGAATGTAATCAAAGTATTTTACAATGTGGACAAATAAACAACAATATAATAATTTTAGATAATGTATTTTATCATTAAAAATAATATTTTTAAACATATAAAAACGACTTATATCATTTTTCTCTGCGTCAAACTAGAAATTTATTACATCCCGGCATGTGGGGCCATGTTTCACACAGAAGACAAAGAGTGTGGTTGAAAGGTGCGAAGCGCGGAGTCAGGGTGCGACAAATTCCCAGCACTTGTCGCGATTGTCTCGGCGGTGATGAATTTCGCGTCGTGACGCCCAGCCATTCAAAACGGTACAAGACGCGCGCGGTCGTTGTTCACCTGTGCACGACTTGAATTCCCACGCGAGGCTGCCGGCATAAATTAGCTTCTCGGCGTTGCAAATTCGCCAGCGGATTATATTTAATGTTGCGTGGCAATCTCGAGGGCTGTTTAATTATAACAGGATCAGTGGCGCAGAAAACTGCCGGGCGAAAAGAGCGAACGGCGTCGCGCGGCTGCTCTCGTTTCCTAATTATTATTGATTTA